AATGTATGAATACATGTATGCATGAACTCATCCTTGTTCTTAATCCTAAATCCCTGCATTTTTACTATATGATCCGCACGCGGAGCATGTATAAAAAAAACGGCACTGTACGGATCGGCCCGAACACTGGAGCCCCTCCCAGGCCCGGAATGGTCCTTAATTTCAGCGTCTCGACGTTCGATGGGGCGAATTCCAGCGCTCTGTGAGCTACTCGGCCACGCGTCACTTGCGGAGCGCACCCCCAGGACCGAAGAGCATCAAGAGCCCTCCAAATCAAGTCATCAGCGGAGCTCAAAGACCGTTGCCAAGCCTCCAGTGCGAGGGGGGGAGCTATGTCCACATCCACCGGCCCGAGGAGCCGAAGTCATGGGACCCCAGCGGGCTGTGAATATGGATGCGGGTTGGGGGAAACCAAAGGGTACCCATTCTGCTACTCCCCGGACCTCTCATGGGGCGCGTTCTGACCAAGCCTTCGAGGCGATCCCAGCGGTGGCGGCGAGGGCCTCCCAGGGGGGCCCAAAAAGGGGGGCACGAAGCAAGGGCGGCGGTATCGGTATCTTTTCCTCTGAGGTTTGGCCCCAGGGGGCCAGAGCTCATCCATATCCACCGCCTCAGGTGGTCCCCGAGGATCGCTCCCCAGGAGGTGGTGACACACACATCCATCCCCACGTCGGGACCCCCTGTGCTGCGAGAGGAGGCAGGGAGGAAGGAAGGAAGGAGGAGGATGGGGAAGAAGAGGAGGAGGACGACGAGGAGGAGGAGGGGGAAAAGGGGGAGGGCGCGGACTGCGGCAGAACGAATGAGCAATCGCAAGACGTGCACTTTTATGCGTGCGACTCGGCGGCTCAGCCCACACCTACAAGAACCGAGAACCAAGTCGCACCGCCCAGCCTGCCAGGGTGCCAAGGCAGAGGAACAGAACAGCTGCACACGGCAGGCTCGTCAAGCGACGGAACCTGGCGTTGGTGTCCGACGCCGCGTGGATGGTTCAGCCTTGCACCATCGGCGGCGCTTTGCTCGCAGGAGGAGGAGGAGGACGAGCAGGAGGAGGAGGAGGAGGAGGAGGAGGAGGAGGAGGAGGAGGCGAACGCCCGCGCTGGGGCCGCCGTGGCGTCGGCACGACACAGACCCACCTCGGGAGCGGCCAACGAGGGGGGTGTCCAAGAGGGGGGGGCGCAACTCATGACCGGCGGCACGTGCGCGGCCCAGCGGGGGGGCCAGGGACGTCATGACACAAGAAGCGGCGCCACTGAACAGAATATCCACACCCCCCTAGTCACCACCCCCTCTTTGCCGCCCCCGACTACCGCAACCATGCTTCCTCGAAGGCCCGCCCGGCTTTCTTGCATCGGCGCTGGGCGGCGCGGCGCCGGGCGGCCATGCCCAAGGGGGGGCCCAAGGCCGATCCATGAACTCCGCGCGGGCCTCCGAGGAACAAACGCGTGTGCCGCCGGCTGTTCTTCGACGGAAGCTGCAAGCCGCGCGGGCGCGGTCACATACTCTGAGCCGCACCGCTGCCACCTCCAGCAGATGGCGGCATAACAGGAGGCACGAGCGGGACAACTCGAGCGATACTGCTCACTGCTGTTATGCTCAATGACGTGAAGCAGACCCTCTCAGAGACTGCGAGCCCAGATTCCACCACGCGTGCGGCATGGTGGAGACAGCGAGAGCAGCAGTGTCATCTTACAAATTCGACGGCTGCGCATTCATCTGTCACCAATCATCCCTCGCTCTCCCAGGCATCCGCCACCGTGCCGTGAAGATGCTGATTGGACTGTCCTGACACGCCTTCGAACTCCCTGCGCCGCACATTGGTAATGCCCCTTCAAGGTGCAAGAAGCCCCGTGCTCCGAGTCCTCTCGGGAATCCCCGCGTGGCGTTCTCCCCGAGGTCGAACATCCTAGTTGCCGCATGAACATGCTACCCAGCCCCAATCAGTGGGGAACTCGAACTGGCCTCACGAACCCTCCTGTACGAAAATTGTACCCAAGACCGCCAAAAGATCCCAAGGAGAGCCCCCCAAGCGGGCCCACATGTAAGAGGCCCCAGGGAGGCCTCCAAGCGACCCCCGTGATGCACCCAAGGAAACCCCGAGAGACATCCAAGAGGCCGCTGACTCACAAACCACTAACGGTGGCGCGCTGGGCGGAAAAGCACCAGATACGGTCGACCGTGCTTCCGTCGCCCCCATATTTCAACCTGTCCTCCTCAATCTCGCCTCCGTTCCTTCCCTCTCTCGCAGTTCAACCTGTGTTCGTCAACGGGGACCAGCTCGATGAATTCAGCCAATGGGAACTTTTCGGTCCTTCGAAACTGGCCGAAGCAACACGTAATCGCTATACCCTCCGCACGCTCAAGGCGACACGATCACTAGCCTTGCGTTCAGCTAGTATGCCGCAAAAGCTGCCGTGCTGGGCGTATGTTTCGTCTCGGAGTGTGTGCAAGCAGGGAAGGCTCTGTGCTGCTCGAGGCCTGCTGCTCAAACCCGATCAAGTCGACCGTTCTAGACGCCCAACGCTCAGAGTTCTTCTTTTCAGGGCAGTCCCGTCACCATTTTGGTGAGCGAACTCACGAAATATTCAATGCTGAACGGTGTGCGCGCTGCTCGTCGCATGCAGGCACACGGGGGGACGGAAAACACTCCTGACGAACACAGTCGGAGAGAATGTCGGCGCTCTTTTTCGTAATGATTCCCCCTTTTCAGCCCCCCCACCACAGCCACAAGAAGCCTCCTAAATGAGGTCGGTCGGACTCGGTGCGGACGGAGGATCGCGCCACATCGTTGATGCATCGGCGGGCGATGCATCGTCGGTGCATTGGCGATGCATCGTCGACATCGGCGATGCATTAACGACGCCTGCGTGGAGAACACTGGGCTTTACATCGAGCCGCCTCGCCGATGCATCGGCGATGTTGCGCGATCCTCTGGTCCAATCTATGCAAACCTCACCTGGGGAGCCTAGACCCACGAAGCTTACCATATGTCCACTTATGCTCACGCGTTTCCCCCCCCTCTTCCTCTTCGTGCCAAGCAGGTGCAATGGCATCCAACTGCGAGGCCTTCGGCGCGTAATCGGACCAGCTCTTTGGGCTAAGAAGGTATACCGATGTCTTTCTCTCCTCTTCCAAAACCTGTACCGATGTGTTTTTTTCTCCTCTTCCAAAACCCTCTTCCCTTCGGGGAGGGGTAAGCTCCCCCTCCCCATCCCTGAGGTTTTTCGGCGGGGGGCGCAAGGGGTTAGGGTGCCCAAGACGGCCCGAGATTGCTCCACGAGGGCGTCCGATGCTCCAAGATGACCTACAAAATGGCTCAAGATAATCGGCGATGGTGCAAAATACCTTCCGACATACCTCCACGAGGCCCGACGCGAGCCACAAGCCGGTTCCAAGTGCTATCGGAGCAACCCAAGGGTATCCCCAAGAGGGCTGACATCCCTCGACGAAAAACAATGAAATTCAGTGATGCGTGCCTTCCCGCCGCTACACTTCCGATGCGCTGTTGAGGCCTCAAGGGATGACCCGAAGAGGCCCTCCAAAACCAACCCCTTGCTCCCAGAGATCTCTCTCCGCTCATCCTGGTTGCCCGCTCTGTTTTACTCTACGTGTCTCTTCGCCACGTTTCTCGTCAGCTCTCCTGGGCAAAGTCTCTGAACGAGCGGGTGGGGATTTTTTGTCGCGGCCGCAGGCGAGCGCGCGAGCAGCGTCAGAGATCGGGCGGGCTACGCGCGAACCTAATTGCCTAGCGCACGGGGACCGACGGCCGAACCTGAGCTGCCTAAGCTGCCTAAGCTGCCGGGCTGCGCGAGGTGGTGCCAGGAAGCAGGGCAGGGCCCGAAACACGCGGGTGGGGATACGCGAAGCGTGAAGAATTGACACATCGGTCGAAAGAAGCAGGTAGAGACATGAAACCAGAAGGCGTTGAACGTAGATTGACCCCCTAAAGGAGGACGGAGAAGGCGAAGCCTCTCGATCATGAAATAATTAGGACGTCGTTTTTTTAACTAGCTTGGGATCTGGGACTCCAAGAACATCCGCTATCATAGAAGAAGAAAAAGCGCCATCAATATAGACTTTCTGCGCTTCGCGCGGATTCCTCGGATCTGCGCCGGAGGCACCGCCGGAGGGCCAAGGCGCGGATCCAAGAACTCCGCGCGGAGCGCGCCAGAAGTTTATGGTTGTGTGGTTTTGTCTTCTTCGAACGACCGATGGGTATCGTTCCACCAGAATGAAGTCGGGCGTGTCCCCCTACAGGCGAATTTTGGACGACAAAAAAACCATGCCTCCAAAATGCCCCAAAAATAATCAAAAACGGTAACAACATCGTCCCCAGACTATGTTTGGACTATTGTTGAATATCCCCCCTGTAGAGAGACATGCCCGACTTAACACCAGAGGGGAGACGCCGCACTGGGGACGCAGGGAACTTGGGTGTCCACGGCGAGCCTCGGCCGCGGACCTAGGTCCCACTCCTGTTGGCGGAGGGGCGCCGAGGGGGGCAGGGCGAGGGGGGAAGGCTTCCTAACAGCCAGACGAGGAGAGGGTACCCATACCGCTACCCTTCGCTCGTTTTCCCCTTCTTGGGGCCTCCTGGGCGGCCCTCGTCACCACCGCTGGATTCCCCTCGAAAGTCTGGGCAGAACGCACCCCGGGAGAGGTCCAGGGAGTAGCGGTATCGGTACCCTTTGCTCTCCCCGCCTGAAAGCACCGTGCTTCTCAGAGGGCGCGGGCCTTCCATCTGCAGGCAGGACCCGCGCCTTCTAAGAAGCAGGGGTGCTTCTGGGATGCCTTCCCCCCTCCCCCTGCACCCCCCCCCTGCGCGCCGCCGATCCTGAGCACTGAGCTGCCCTTCAGCGTCTCGGCCGTGATGCAGAATGTTTACCCTGTGGAGGCGATGTAATCATCGGAGCACCCCCCTCCAGATCCTGCCCAGGCCTGCGCCACGACCCCCCTCCTTGGTTCCGTGGAGCGCCGAACGTTTCCGTGGCGATCTTGGGATCCTCGAGGATGCTCAAGATGGCTTCCAGCGTCTCTGAGATGCCAAGGAGACCTCGCAGACGAGGGCCAGGCAACCCGAAAGACTCCCCGAAGAAAAACGGTTCCTCATGCTTTGGCTTTCCATGCTCATCGGCCTCATCTGGACCAGCCAAAGCTTCCCAAGGCACCATGCACACATTCCCAAGAGGCACCAGGCGGTGAAAGAGGAGAACTGTCGTTGGAAGTCGCAGGAGCAGGTGCAACCGCCAGGACAGATCTGAACGGGAGTACCAGCACAGGCAGCAGTGCGAAGTGAGGAAGAACAGGAGGAGCGAGAACAGAAGCGAGAAAGGGGGAAGCAACCACCTCAACTCAGAAACCAATTATCCTGGCAAAGCAACCTAACAGCGATGTGTAGGAGCGTATCTGGAAGCATTCCCCTTAAGATTCAGATGAGAATCCAGTTGTAGAATTCTGCTGTTCTCGCAGTCGTAGTCGCATTCGCGATGACAGTCGCAGTGGCAACGGCAGTCGCAGTCACAGCCTCAGCCTCAGCCTGCCTCAGCCTCAGCCTCAGCCTGCCTCAGCCTCAGCCTGCCTCAGCCTCAGCCTCAGCCTGCTTCAGCCTCAGCATCAGTCTGCCTTCAGCCTCGGCCTCAGCCTCAGCCTGCCTCAGCCTCAGCCAGCCTCAGCCTCAGCCTCAGCCTGCCTCAGCATCAGCCTGCCTCAGCCTCAGCCTCAGCCTGCCTCTGCCTCAGCCTCAGCCTGCTTCAGCCTCAGCCTCAGTCTGCCTTCAGCCTCGGCCTCAGCCTCAGCCTGCCTCAGCCTCAGCCTGCATCAGCCTCAGCCTCAGCCTCAGCCTGCCTCAGCATCAGCCTGCCTCAGCCTCAGCCTCAGCCTGCCTCAGCCTCAGCCTCAGCCTGCTTCAGCCTCAGCCTCAGTCTGCCTTCAGCCTCGGCCTGCCTCCGCAGCCTGCCTCAGCCTCAGCCTGCAGCCTCAGCCTCAGCCTCAGCCTCAGCCTCAGCCTCAGCCTCAGCCTCAGCCTCCTCAGCCTCAGCCTCAGCCTGCCTCAGCCTCAGCCTCAGCCTCAGAGCCTCAGCCTCAGCCCTCAGCCTCGGCCTCAGCCTCAGCCTGCCTCAGCCTCAGCCTGCCTCAGCCTCAGCCTCAGCCTGCCTCAGCCTCAGCCTCAGCCTCAGCCTCAGCCTGCCTCAGCCTCAGCCTGCCTCAGCCTCAGCCTCAGCCTGCTTCAGCCTCAGCCTCAGTCTGCCTTCAGCCTCGGCCTCAGCCTCAGCCTGCCTCAGCCTCAGCCTGCATCAGCCTCAGCCTCAGCCTCAGCCTGCCTCAGCATCAGCCTGCCTCAGCCTCAGCCTCAGCCTGCCTCAGCCTCAGCCTCAGCCTGCTTCAGCCTCAGCCTCAGTCTGCCTTCAGCCTCGGCCTCAGCCTCAGCCTGCCTCAGCCTCAGCCTGCAGCCTCAGCCTCAGCCTCAGCCTGCCTCAGCCTCAGCCTGCCTCAGCCTCAGCCTGCCTCAGCCTCAGCCTCAGCCTGCTTCAGCCTCAGCCTCAGTCTGCCTTCAGCCTCGGCCTCAGCCTCAGCCTGCCTCAGCCTCAGCCTGCCTCAGCCTCAGCATCAGCCTGCCTCAGCATTCAAAATGTTGCCCCGGAATGGAGTTCTGGGAACTCGAAGAACACGAAGTGGCCTACAGCTGGCTCCGGGCATTCAAAATCATGCCCTGGAATGGAGTTCTGGGAACTCGAAGACCAGGAAATGGCCTACAAGTGGCTCTGGGCATTCAAAATGTGGCCAGGGAGTGGAGTTCTGGGAACTCGAAGAGCACGAAGTGGCCTACAGTTGGCTCTGGGCATTCAAAATGTGGCCCGGGAATGGAGTTCTGGGAACTCAAAGAGCACGAAGTGGCCTACAGTTGGCTCCGGGCCTTCAAAATGTGGCCCGGGAATTGAGTTCTTGGACCTCGAAGACCACGAAATGGGTAACTGTTTGCTTAAAACGACTTCCGCGGATTCTCCCCAGATCCTGCCCGGACCCCCCTGGGGAGTCAAGATGCTTTGTTTTGAGACCATTAGAAACCTATCAGTCTTCGCTGTTAGGTAAAAATAACAACAAGCCACCGGAGTGAGCCGCGAGCCCGCAACCTTTTGCCCGCGCAGCTGGCAGCACGGGCACCCCCTCTCGGGCGGAGCCTGGACGCGGCCCCCAACTGGGCCCGTGCAGGCCCCGGCAGGCCGCCTCGGCAGGGGGGCCCTACTCCCAAGTCTCCGCTGCCCCGATGCTCGTGGCAGGCGCGCCGCTGGCCGGCTCTTGGCCGGGCCCCTCCAGCGCCATGTACTTGGCGTACCTCCTCCTCTCGGGAGCGGCCAAGAGGGGGGTGTCCAAGAGGGGGGGGGTGCAAATCATGACCAGCGGCACGTGCGCGGCCGAGCGGGGGGGCCAGGGGCGTAATGGAATAAGAAGAGGGGCCATGAAATCTGGGGAAATATCATGGCCCCCGCCATGATATCCCCCCCCCCCCTATCCATCACCCCCCTCTTTGCCGCCCCCGATCCTCACGCGCGCCAGGTAGCCGCAGGCCAGGAGCAGCACCAGGGCCGTGGGCCCCCCGACGACTGCCACGAGGAGCCGCACCCCGAACCTGCCGCAGGGCTCGGTGTACGGCGCAGGCGCCGGGTCGCCACCCGCGCACGGCGCCTTGGCCCGGAACCAGAAGGTCCTCCGCCCGTCCTCGCAGCGAGCGTCGGCCACCGCGGCGAAGTCCTCGCTGCTGCACATCGGGCACGCCGCCAGCGTCCGCCACTCCAGCACAACCTCCTCGCAGCTCTCACGCCCGCTCGGCCTGCCTCCGGGTGCGAAGGTCACCTCGAGGGGGCCCGTGGCCGGCGCCCAAGGGCGGACCGCCACGCCTGGCAACAGGCCAGCCTGCGCCCAGGCCGTGCTGTCGCACCGGAAGACTAGCTGCGCGCTGCGGGGCCGCCCGAAGTCGCAAGAACCCGCGAACGTTGCCTTGATGCCGAGGCTCTCCTCGCTGTCGACGAACGGCTCGACTGCCTCCAGCGACTCGCCCACGGTGTCGTACAACCCCCCAGCTGGAGCAGCGCAGCTGGGGCCAACTGACGACGCCGCGCTCGTGCTCACGTTTGCGGCCGAATCGGAGGACGGCCACTTCGCCCACCAATACGCGACGGGGTCACCCTCCACTGCTTGCGAGGCCGTGACGTACCCGGCCGGAGTCGACGGGCTGCCAGGCGCCGCACGGGGCCCGAAAGGATCGATGGAAAACCGCTCGTCCTCCACCTGGGGAAGCAACAAAAAGACCAATACCGCTACTCCCTGGACCTCTCCCATGGTGCGTTGCCCAGAGAAGCCGCAACGAGGCAGATGTAGCGGTACCGGCACCATTTCCTCATCTGACCGTGATCAGCTGGGAGGAGGCCTGGGCTGCGACCTGCCACGCCGCAGCCAGAAACGACGCGTTCCACTCCCGGCGGCCCTTGCGCAGCCTCTCCTCTCGGCGGTGGACAAACCTCCCTTTAGCAAAAACCACCCTTCAGTGAAAACGGCCTGGGACCGAAACCGACGGACCTGGACCCGCCAAAACGACGGCCGCGACGCCCTCTCGCGAACCGAACACGGCCAATTCGCGAGTCGACGTGGCGGGGCGGGAGGCCTGCCGACCTCCGTTGAGCAGGGACCGACCGTCCTGGCATCCCAATAGTCATACCACGAAATGTTCTTAGAACCCCCCAAAAAATTCAAATAACAAAAACAAGGTTCTTAGAACATAAGCCCGATGTGTCAAAACAAGAGAGTCCCAACCAGAAATGCTCTAAGAGAACATTTCGTGGGAACCACAAAAAAGTTCTTAGAACATGGCTTGGTGGGGCTATAGGCCAGCCGGGACGCTTCGCCACTGCTGGACTCCGAGGTCCTCCCAGCTGCAGCTTGAGGCGCCGGCGCCGCTGCGGAGGCCCGGGCCGCACGGGCTGCAGGAGGCCGCGCCGCGCCCCGAGGCCGAGCCTGGAGGAGGGCCCAGACCTGCGACATCCTGCTTTTGTCATCGGGGGCGGCCAAAAAGGGGGCGTCCAAGAATTTGGACGTCCGACATGGGTACGGAAAACATGGGTACAATGCCCGACAACAAACGTTGTCCTAAACCAACAGCAGCCGCTGTTGGGCAGGCGGCCTTCTGTCTCGAATGGGCACGGCGGCGAGGACAGCGAATCCTGTTCAAAATGAGCAGGAACTGCTGTTGGGCATTGTATCCATTCTTTCCGTACCCATTTCGGGCGTCCAGAAAGAGGGAAGGGGCCCTGGGACACACAACTGAATAGACACAAGTAACGGGATTCCCCATATTTGTCCACAGTTTCTGGGTTTTCGTCTTCCCCCCCACTTCCCATATTTTCCCACACTTGCTGGGGAATCGACGATTCGTTCTGGCTGTGTGTTTTTCCTTCCTGAAAGAGGGGGGCGTCCAAGAAGGGGGGTGCAAACCCTGGCCGGCGGCATGTGCGCGGCCCTGGGGGGCGGTGCCGGGGACGTGAAGAAACAAGAGGAGGCGCCGGGAGATCTGGTAGTCGTCACCCCCGCTGTGCCGCCCCCGATTTCAGGGCGGCGTCCCCGGATGCCCCGACCCTTTCCCCGGGGCCGGTTTTTCGTCCTGACTCGTTTCTTGACGGCCCCTGGGCCTGGCGACGGCCCCCCGCGGGGCCGAAAATAGCAAAAAACGTGCCGTCCCGATTTTTTGTTGGCGGCGCGCACAAGGGGGTGGAGGTAGGGTGGAGGGCTTCTTAGAAGGAGGCTGCTTCTTAGAAGGCGCCCGCCTTACATCTATAGATGAGGCCCGCGCACTCTAAGAAGCAGACGTGCTTCTAAGAAACCGTCCCCCCATCCCCCCACCCCCCTCTGCGCGTGGCTGATTTTTGTTACGACGCGATCATGTCTGGGGATCTGCATGCATAGGGGAACAACACATGACATAAGCATACAAACTCGGAGGTCCAGGGAACGAGGGAGGAGGGGGGGAGAGAGAGAGAGAGAGAGAGAGAAAGAGAGAGAGAGAGAGGGAGGGAGGAAGAGCACCTGGAGGGCAGGACTGGCAAGGAGCGCTCGCGCTGGGCGAGGCCTTGCCGGGCGGGCAGGGCTGGCAGGGCACCGCCCACGGCGTGGACCCCCCCTCCTGCGGCGACGGCGGCGCGAAGCCGGCGCCGCACGGCACGCAGGCTGCGATGCCCGCGCCCTTGGCGCCAGGTCGGGCATGTCCTCCTACGGGCGGATTTTCGAAGCAGGGATAGAAAAGAGTCAAAACGAACTCGAGCACAGCCAAACACAGTAGAAACAACCTCGCCAGGCTATGCTGTCTGACTATTTTGAATGTCTACTCCTCCTGTAAAGGGACATGCCCGATCTGACCTTGGCGTTCGTCACCGAGACGTTCAGGAGGCGGATCCCGCTGAGAGTCCGGCCCTCGTCCGTGGCCTCCACGTCTGCTACGCGGCGGGCGCTGCCCGACGTGGTCGTGCTGCCCCACGCTGTCCCCAGCTCTCCTGGCCACTATGGAGCCTCTGGGGCCCTCTGGGCCCCGCGACGGCTCGCCATCGCTCGGCCGTTCACTCCCCGTGCCTTTCTCGGCTTCGTGCGCGTGGATGTTTCGCACGAGCATCCAACGTATGCTCCTCGATGGTCCTCGCTGAGGAAACAGGCGCACGCGTCCAAGCGATGCCGAGAGGGGTGCTCCACCAAAGAGGCACCGATGCCGCTGCTCCCCGGACCTCTCCCGGGGCGCGTTCCGACGGGGAACTCGAGGCGAGTCCAGCGATGGCGACGAGGGCCTCCCAGGAGGCCCAAAAAGGAGGCGAGGCGAGGGTAGCGGTATGGGTACCTTTTTCCTCCTCATGAGCTCTGTGAGTAAAAAACCACACTGTGGGTGAAAACAAACACACATGTGGGTAACAAAAACACACACTGTGGGCAACAAACACACACACAGACACAGACACAGACACACACACACACACACACACACACACACGCACGCACGCACGCACGCACGCACGCACGCACACACACACACACACACACACACACACACACACACACACACACACACACACACACACACACACACACACACTGTGTGTGTGTGTGTTTTACCCGTGTGTGTGTGTTGTGTGTGTTTTACCCACAGTGTGTGTTTGTTGCGTTGTTTACCCACAGTTGTGTGTGTTTTGTGTTTTTTGTATGTTTTTTTGTTGGTGTGTTTTTTACCCACAGAGGCCCAGAGACACCCCTGGGCCAGGGACCCCTCTGACAGCACCCGCATGTGCCGCCACACCCACGTCAGCCGCACGGGCCCGGGGCCGAGCGGCGTGCTCCACGTCACGCGGCGGCCCTCGCGCGCCTCCAGCGCCAGGGCGCCCCGCGCCGAGCCGTTGACGAGCAGGGACGCCTGCTGAGACCACGCGCTGGCGGGCAGGGCCTCGAGACCGAACCTGCGGGGCCCTGGCCATCGCTCGGACGTCCATTCCCTGTGTTTTTTTCGGTTTCGTGTGTGGCTTTTTCGCCAAATGATCAAAGATGCTCCTCGATGGTCCTCGCCGAAGGAAAAATGCACACCTCCGAGCGATGCCGAGGGCCTCCCATATGAGGCTGGAGCAGCTGGGGTCGAAGGGCCGCGCCACCTCGCCGATGCATCGCCGATGCGCCGGCGATGCGCCGGCGATGCGTCGGCGATGCAGGGGCGATGCACCGGCGACGTCGGCGATGCCTGGGCGCCGTCGGCCTGGCGAAACCTGGGCCCCACCTCGGCGATGCCTCGCCGATGCAGCGCCGCTGGCCTCGGCGAGGCGGCGCGACCCTCCGACCCCGTCTGCTCGGACCCCATCTGGGAGGCCGAGAATACCAGACTACCCCCCTCCTCCTCCTCCTCCTCCTCCTCCTCCTCCTCCTCCTCCTCCTCCTCCTGCTCCTGCTCCTGCTCCTCCTCCTCCTCCTGCTGCACACGTCCCCCCTCCGACCCCATCTAAGGGGCCTCCTAGCGGGAGAACCGGAGCTCGCCAGGGACCTCCAGCACCACGTCCAGGTGCAGCAGGGACGCCTCGGCGCCCCAGCCCTCCAGCTCGCCCCCGCCGAACGCGCTGCCGATCACCGCCGCCGCGCCGTCGGGGGACCGCCGCCAGCCGCTGCCCACGAGCTCTGGGTCAGCAGGGCCCCTACTCGTGGTGCTCATCGCCCGGCCACATGCAAGAGCGACCCCACCTCGAGCGACGAACGTCGGAGGTGAGGGGGTGAGGGGGTGAGGAGGTGAGGGTGAACGGGGAGCCCCCCTACCGGGAAATCGATTTCGGTTTCGTGTTCGTGCGTGCCGTGCGTGCGGGCGAGGCGAAGCTGCGTGGGCGGGCGAGAGGAAAGTCTCCTGTGGCTGAGGCGCGGCCGGACCAAATGATTCTCCACCGGGCGGCAGGTGGCGCCTCCCCCCTCACCTCCTTATCACCCGCAGGGTGGTCGTATAGGTATGCAGGAAAGGCTCCCTGCGTTTCGGACGTTGTCGTCGGGTCCAGAAACGTTTCCCTGCCTCGGGTCCAGCAGCTGTGGCTCTCCGAAAGCGTTCAGGGGGTTCCCCGGCTCGTCCCGATCGGCCGCCAGGGACCATGTCGGCGGCGAGCCTGGGGGGGACTCGAGAAGGGGCGGGCCTGCTCAGAAGGCTCGGAAGTCCCCAGGGCTTTCAAACAGTTTTCGAGACGGCGCGAGGGCTTCTGAGAAGCCCCGCTGCCGAAGAAGCCTCCTCCTTCTCACTTCCCGCCATCGCTCGCCGCCGACCATAACTGCGAGTAGTAGTCCTGCATCCAAATGACCCGCGTATCCACGCCCTCCTGGTCTGGACTCTGGGGCGCGGTCCCTATCGGATAGGCTGTCGCACGGATGAGTTCCGCGCGGACTATCAGCGACAAAACCCCCCGCATCCACGGCGTCGCAGCCTCGGGCCCCTGCCCACGATGCCGTGGATAAGGATATGTCTGCCGCCCACGACCCCTCGGCAGGAGTGACCCCTCTGGCGCCCGGCTGTCGGGGGCCGCGGGCGCACGGGCCGGTGCTGGGGGACACCTGTGGGCCCGCACCGGAGGTCACTCCGGCGACGAGCCACTCTTACACGTAGCCGCATCGCGCCGACCGCGGTGTGGAAACCCTTGGGCCACTCGTCCCAATGATCTACCAAGAGCTCCCTCGCCCCGTGTAAGCCGCTGGGGCAAGGCTTGAGCACTGGCTCGCACTCGCCGTTCTGAAACCCAACAATGTCAATCCTTCGACTGCTGTGGCCCGGACAAGGCGGGCAGGGCGCGACGTCATCCGCAGGGCGCTCAGAACCGTCCTGCTCCTTGTCGCAGGTCACGGGCTTCCGTAGAGAGTACGTGACTAGAGTCATGTTGTGGCGGCAGATGGGGCCTGTCCAGACGGGGCGGCGTTTCCCTCTTCTGTCGATGTCGAACGACGAAAACGTCTTCTCGTAGTCCCAGATCGTGCAAGGGCGGCTAAGCCGGCAGGATGACCATCCCTCCGAGCCCGGAGGCGACCACCTGCCGACAGGGCACTTCTGGCAACTGCTGGTACCGGCGTCCATATACTGACCCCAGCCACACGTAAGGCAACGGTCGTCCGTCCCGTGAACAGCCACTCCCTCGCAACTGCGGCACTCCGTGTCCGCGTACGCCGAGCCCACAACCTCTAGCAGCTGGAGCTTGGCCGCATCGTGGCCGGCGGAACCGCTGTAGTCCTTTGAGTAGACCCACAAGAAAGAGTGTGGGCCACGAAGCACCGGGACCTGGAATTCCGAGTACTCCGCCGTCCAAGACACCCTCGGCACCACGATCACCTCGTCCACGAAGAAAGACAGGCCGTCATAGAGCTCCTCCGCGTCGACAGCATAGCGGAACCTGATGTGGCCATCGCGGACAAACACCAGCTTCATCTCCAGCACCACCTTCGGTGTCAACCCATGGGAGCCTCCCATTCCATCTGGTTGGCTCCCGCGAAGCGACGCTGATCGACACTAACCGACACTTTTTGACGCTAAGTCGACGCCAATCGGCGCCACCTCATCGATTACCAAACGCCCAATCGACGCTAGTCGACGCGAGAGAAGGACCTGCGAGGGCGCGCGAGGCTCTCGTGGCTTGCGACCGAAACCGCCTGAATCCAGTGGAACTGCCTGTTGTTGCCCGAGAACAAGAAGCCGCCGTGACCGGCGGCCCTCCAGGGGGCACACCCGGGACGCCTGCCGCTGTCGTGGAAGGACCCCGCGTCGTGCTCTGCAGGCTGGTCGTGGGCATCGTAATCGTCATCCGCTGTGGCCCCCTTTGCTGAAGGCAGCTCCTGGGCCAATCTTCGCCAGACCGTGGGCGCTGGTAAGCCCGATCGAGGGGCCCTTGAGCCAGAGAGGGCCTCCAGGACCGCCGAAGACGGCCCTGGCATTGCTCAAAGACGGATTCTCGGTCCCTGGTTGGGTTTCTTGCGCTACGGCAGCAAACGAAGAAACCTAGGGTACTTCTCCAAATGTCACGCAGTTTCTTGAAGGTTCGGACGTGCGCTCCGAAACGCACCGACGCCGAAGAAATCCAGGGTGCCCTGGAATTTGCGCTTCATTCGACATTGCTGCACCCGTCCACGACGACCTCAAGCCAAGGATGCCCAGGGCACCCTGACAAAACACAGGGTGTGTCTTGTCATCCGATCCGACTGCAGTCGACCAAGATGCCCCAACGAGTTCCCCATGACTGTCCACGAGGCCCAGGGGACCCCAAAGACAGCTCCAGAGACGCCTCGATGGCCTCGCCGCAGGGGGCCGCGCGGGCCCCCGAGAAGGTCCCCCGGATGCCCGAACGCTGCGGAAGGTTGCAGCGCAGAGTTCTCCCCAATGCTTCTGGAAGTGCTGGGGGAGCGTACAGTCTTTTGTCGGGCACGTCCTCCTACAAGCGGATTTTGGAAGACAAGCTTGAAGAATAGTACAACAGATCTGCAAACATAGTCAAAGAGCACGCCATACTATTCTTTACTATTCTTGAGTACTCCTCCTGTAGAGGGGCATGCCCGACTTGAGCACCGTTCAGTACCTTGCCCAACCTGTGGCCCAACGTTTGGCCACACAGGCAGCTCCAAAAACAGGGAGGGAGTGGCGGTGACTCGCCGGAGGCGTGTTCCATCCGTCGCCCTCTGTTATCTCGCCATCGCTCGGACGTCCACTCTCCGTGCATTCTTCGATTCCGTGCGCGCATCTGTGTCGCAAGATGATCCCAAACGCTCCTCGATGGCCCTTCCGCCGAAGAACAAATGCACACGTCCGAGCGATGCCAAGATGAGGGGAGGAAGGAGGGGGCCACGGGTGCGCGATGTCGGACGGGGGTCCCCGCTCGGACGGGAGCCTCCCCGGGGGTCCGACCACCCGCAACCGTACCCATAGCCAGCCTTCCGCCCTCCGATCCCCCTATGGCTACGGGTGGGTGGTGTCCGTTCGTCAACGAGGTGGTCCACAGGCTCGAAAGGATCTTCCTCCTTGCTTTCCCTTTCAAAAATACCCCCACAAACCCTCGGGCCAATGCCACCGCCTGCCGCCGCTTACACGCCTGCCATCGGCATTTCGGCACAAACCTAAAAGGTCGCCAAGGCAGCCCGTATGATTTCTGCGACTGCCAAACATTTCGAGATCTTCCAATGTGGTCTCCAATAGGCTTCCAACATGAGTCAAGAGAAGAGAGATGACCCTGAATATTGCGCAACATTGCCCAAGATACCTTATGGAAGGCTTCCAACAATGGTGGAAAACGTTCCCCAAGAGCACCCGAGATGGTCCGCAGGACCGCCACAGCAATCCCAAGGACCCTCCGGATTGCCCAAGATGCCCCTCATGGTTGCACACAGAGACCACGAGGCCACGTTCCTGGGACTGGCCATTACAGGTAATTAGGAGGGCGCGCAGCCAAGCAACTTGGCCAAACTGGAAGCCTGAACACAATCACGCGCCCAGGGTGCCTCTTCGACGGTGAAACGGCTCAGGACCCGTTTACCTCACCCCCGCTTGCACCATGGCGACTCCCGAAAGGGGCGGCGGGGCCGTTCCGCAGGCGCCTTCGATAGTACTCGTCCTCGGGATCTCGGGAGCGGCCACGAAGGGGGTGTCCAAGAGGGGGGGGGGGGTGCAGCTCATGGCCGGCGGCCTGTGCGCGGCTCAGCGGGGGGGCCAGGGACGCAATGGAATGGGAAGAGGCGCCATGACATCTGGGGAGATATCATCACCCTCTTTTCCGCCCCCGGCGATAGCGCCGCTGCGCGGGGGGAGAGGCGGGCGCGCGCCGGGCACCTCCGCCGCGGGCGGCGCCTCGGGCCGCCCAGGGCCTGGCAGGCCCCAGCAGCGGGGGAAGGCCGCCTGCGTTTCGCCCGTGCTCGAGGGGCTGCCTCTGGAGGTACCCTGGGCTGCCAAGTCCTCGCCCCCCTCTTTTCGGGTCGGGCGAAAGGGGGGGATAGCAAAGGGGGGGGGTGAAAATCAGCTCACGTAGGTGATTTTCCCGGCGCCTCCCGGCGCCGGAGGCGGCTATGTATCGAGGAATGGGCCCCTCGGTAAGGCCGAAACCAGCTGCATGCAACCAGTTTCGTACCCCCCCCTTTCCCAATCCCCCCCTGTCGTCCCGCCCGAAGGTACCCTGGGCTGCCCAGCCCTCGCCCCCCTCTCTGCCGCCCCCGAGGATCCTCGGGGTCCTCGCTCGGGCCCTCCGCCCCGCCGGTCCCGTTGAGCGCCTCCCAGGCCCCCTCGCTGCAGCGCGGGCTCGGCACGCGCAGGGGCGGGTCCGCGAGCTCCGCGGCGACGCGCGCCGCCCACGCCCGGCCCGCCTCCAGGGTGATGAACAGGAGCGGTAGGCACCGGCGGCAGCAGCGGGAGGCGGACCAGGCGTTGGCAGAACTGGGTTTGGTGGAGCCTGGTTTCGTGATCTCTACCGGGGGCGCCCCCCCGTCCATGTCCACTGACCGGAGCTGCCGTCACCCGAAAAACACCAGTTACGGCAAACCTGGTTTAGTGAATATGGCCAATTGAAGGGCCCCCGGGCCCTACCACTAACCGGGTCCCCTTAGCTGGAGTCCTGGCTATACCCGAGCAGACATCTGTCACCAGGGGGGGGGCCCTACACTCAGGCCGAGCATGTCCTCCTGCAGGCGGGATCTGGAAGAGCGTGCTTCAAAAGGCCTCACACGCCAGAAAATTCAGAAATGGCCACAAATAGTCGACATATCGTTCTCGTACTACTTTCTGCCCGTTTCCGGAGCTTCCGCATGCCCGACTCAACATTACACGTACCAAGGGGTTCCGATCGCCCACGCCTTCGACGAGGCCCCTGGGCGAGTGCAGTTGCCGTGCTACGGTGGGCGGACAAAAAAAAACGGCAGGCCGCGCGCCAGGGACAAAATGTGGACACTTCAACTTTGGGTTTTGGGGGGAGGGGTGCGAGGCAAGTGCATCATGCTGTTGCGGTTGCTATCGCGTCGCAGTGTCTTGCCGCCCTGGGTGTGGACATTTTTTGTCCGGGCGCCGTCCGGGTTAGATGTGTTTGGTGGTTTCATGGCGCTATCGTGTTTACATGTGTGCGTGCATTTAAGTGTGTGTGTTGGTGCGCGCTTATGCGTCCAGCACGACACGCAATTAAATGACGATGTGCGCGTATACGGAACCACGGGACACCTGCAGGACCACCGCGGGACAACCCATGGGACAACCTGCGGGACCACCACGGACAACCCACGGGGCAGACTTTGGGACAACCGTGGGACAACCCACGGGACAGCCACGTGGGACAACCGCGGGACTCCTCAAAGTCGGCGCCCTTCGCTGTCCGCGTTGCGGACCGCAAAGGGCGCCGACTTTGAGGAGTGGGGCCTGGCGCGCTTCCCCCTCCCGCCGTCGCCCCCGACGGCGCGGAACTGTCATAACTGGGTAGAACTGGTCATATCACTGGTCATAGAACCGGCCCATTAAAAATAAGGTCCGGCCTAGAACTGGTCGCATTGAGAAGAAAAATTATTGATATTCTTAAATTTTCTTTCATTGGACCGACCAGTTCTACGCCAGACCCGATTCTTCATGGACCAGTTCTATGACCAGTTCTACCAGTTCTATCCAGTTCTTTCCAGCGGTGCCAGCCTCCGCCCGCTCCACGTCGGGGCGCGGGGGCGCGGGGCCGCCTGTGCGCGCTCTGGATCAGTGGCGATGCCCATGGCCGATCCACAATTGGAGGTCCACTGGCTTCGAGACCCTGGATTCCTTATCCAACGATTCCTTATCCAATGCCCTCGCCGTATTGTAGCACCAATCAAGAGCATAAGAACCACGGTGGGCGGACAAAAAAACTCCACACTTGTCGCGCCAAGACAACTCGTCGTCAAAGCACGTCGACCGAATATATATACCCCCTTTTCCCCCGAGTCAAAATTGGCGGGGTTTGGCGGCAGGCCGCGCGCCAGGGACAAAATGTGGACACTTGAACTTTGGGTTTTTTTTTTGGGGGGGTGCGAGGCAAGTGCATCATGCTGTTGCGGTTGCTATCACGTCGCAGTGTCTTGCCGCCCTGGGTGTGGACACTTTTTGTCCGGGCACCGTCCGGGTTAGATGTGTTTGGTGGTTTCATGGCGCTATCGTGTTTACGTGCGTGCGTGCATTTACGTGTGTTGGTGCGTGCTTATGCGTCCAGCACAACACGCAATTAAATGACGATGTGCGCGTATACGGAACCACGGGACACCTGCAGGACCACCGCGGGACAACCCATGGGACAACCTGCGGGACCACCACGGGACAACCCACGGGGCAGCCCTTGGGACAACCGTGGGACCACTCACGGGACAGCCACGTGGGACAACCGTGGGACTCCTCAAAGTCGGCGCCCTTCGCTGTCCGCGTTGCGGACCGCAAAGGGCGCCGACTTTGAGGAGTGGGGCCTGGCGCGCTTCCCCCCCCCGCCGTCGCCTCCGACGGCGCGGAACTGGTATAACTGGGTAGAACTGGTCATATCACTGGTCATAGAACTGGCCCATTCGAAGTAGGGTCCGGCCTACAACTGGTCGCACTTGGCAGAAGAATCATTCATATTCTTAAATTTTCTTTCATTGGACCGACCAGTTCTAGGCAGGACCCGATTCTTAATGGACCAGTTCAATGACCAGTTCTATGACCACTTCTACCAATTCTATCCAGTTCTTTCCAGCGGTGCCAGCCTCCGCCCGCTCCACGTCGGGGCGCGGGGGCGCGGGGCCGCCTGTGCGCGCTCTGGATCAGTGGCGATGCCCATGGCCGATCCACAATTGGAGGTCCACTGGCTTCGAGACCCTGGATTCCTTATCCAACGATTCCTTATCCAATGCCCTCGCCGTATTGTAGCACCAATCAAGAGCATAAGAACCACGGTGGGCGGACAAAAAATGTCCACATGTGTCGCGCCAAGACAATTCGTCGCCAAATCACGTCGACCGAATATGTATTCCCCCCTTTCCCCCGACTCAAAGTTGGCGGGGTTTGGCGGCAGGCCGCGCGCCAGGGACAAAATGTGGACACTTCAACTTTCGGTTTTGGGGGGAGGGGTGCGAGGCAAGTGCATCATGCTGTTGCGGTTGCTATCACGTCGCAGTGTCTTGCCGCCCGGGGTGTGGACACTTCTTGTCAAGGCACGGTCCGGGTAAGATGTGTTTGGTGGTTTCATGGCCCTATCGTGCTTACATGCGCGCGTGCATTTAAGTGTGTTGGTGCGTGCTTATGCGTCCAGCACGACACGCAATTAGATGACGATGTGCGCGTATACGGAACCACGGGACACCTGCAGGACCACCGCGGGACAACCCATGGGACAACCTGCGGGACCACCACGGGACAACCCACGGGGCAGCCCTTGGGACAACAGTGGGACAACCCACGGGACAGCCACGTGGGACAACCGTGGGACTCCTCAAAGTCGGCGCCCTTCGCTGTCCGCGTTGCGGACCGTAGAGGGCGCCGACTTTGAGGAGTGAGGCCTGGCGCGCTTCCCCCCCCCGCCGTCGCCTCCGACGGCGCGGAACTGGTATAACTGGGTAGAACTTGTCATATCACTGGTCATAGAACTGGCCCGTTAGAAATAGGGTCCGGCCTAGAACTGGTCGCACTTGGCAGGAGAATCATTCATATTCTTAAATTTTCTTTCATTGGACCGACCAGTTCTAGGCCGGACCCGATTCTTAATGGACCAGTTCAATGACCAGTTCTACCAGTTCTATCCAGTTCTTTCCAGCGGTGCCAACCTCCGCCCGCTCCACGTCGGGGCGCGGGGGCGCGGGGCCACCTGTGCGCGCTCTGGATCAATGGCGATGCCCATGGCCGATCCACAATTGGAGGTCCACTGGCTTCGAGACCCTGGATTCCTGATCCAACGATTCCTTATCCAATGCCCTCGCCGTATTGTAGCACCAATCAAGAGCATAAGAACCACGGTGGGCGGACAAAAAGTGTCCACACTTGTCGCGACAAGACAACTCGTCGTCAAATCACGTCGACCGAATATGTATACCCCCTTTTCCCCCGACTCAAAGTTGGCGGGGTTTGGCGGCAGGCCGCGCGCCAGGGACAAAATGTGGACACTTGAACTTTGGGTTTTGGGGGGAGGGGTGCGAGGCAAGTGCATCATGCTGTTGCGGTTGCTATCACGTCGCAATGTCTTGCCGCCCTGGGTGTGGACACTTTTTGTCCGGGCACCGTCCGGGTTAGATGTGTTTGGTGGTTTCATGGCGTTATCGTGCTTACATGTGTGCGTGCATTTAAGTGTGTTGGTGCGTGCTTATGCGCCCAGCACGGCACGCAATTAGATGACGATGTGCGCGTATACGGAACCACGGGACACCTGCAGGACCACCGCGGGACAACCCATGGGACAACCTGCGGGACCACCACGGGACAACCCACTGGGCAGCCCTTGGGACAACCGTGGGACTACCCACGGGACAGCCACGTGGGACAACCGTGGGACTCCTCAAAGTCGGCGCCCTTCGCTGTCCGCGCTGCGGACCGTAGAGGGCGCCGACTTTGAGGAGTGGGGCTTGGCGCGCTTCCCCCCCCGCCGTCGCCTCCGACGGCGCGGAACTGGTATAACTGGGTGGAACTGGTCATATAAATGGTCATAGAACTGGCCCATTAAAAATAAGGTCCGGCCTAGAACTGGTCGCATTTAAGAAAAGAGTTACCGATATTCTTAAATTTTCTTTCATTGGACCGACCAGTTCTAGGCCGGACCCGATTCTTAATGGACCAGTTCAATGACCAGTTCTACCAGTTCTATCCAGTTCTTCCCAGCGGTGCCAGCCTCCGCCCGCTCCACGTCGGGGCGCGGGGGCGCGGGGCCGCCTGTGCGCGCTCTGGATCAGTGGCGATGCCCATGGCCGATCCACAATTGGAGGTCCACTGGCTTCGAGACCCTGGATTCCTTATCCAACGATTCCTTATCCAATGCCCTCGCCGTATTGTAGCACCAATCAAGAGCATAAGAACCACGGTGGGCGGACAAAAAGTGTCCGCAATTGTCGCGCCAAGACAACTCGTCGTCAAATCACGTCGACCGAATATGTATACCCCCTTTTTCCCCCGACTCAAATTTGGCGGGGTTTGGCGGCAGGCCGCGCGCCAGGGACAAAATGTGGACACTTCAACGTTGGGTTTTGGGGGGAGGGGTGCGAGGCAAGTGCATCATGCTGTTGCGGTTGCTATCGCGTCGCAGTGTTTTGCCGCCCTGGGTGTGGACACTTTTTGTCCGGGCGCCGTCCGGGTTAGATGTGTTTGGTGGTTTCATGGCGCTATCGTGATTACATGCGTGCGTGCATGTAGGTGTGTGTTGGTGCGTGCTTATGCGTCCAGCACGACACGCAACTATATGAAAATGTGCGCGTATACGGAACCACGGGACACCTGCAGGACCACCGCGGGACAACCCATGGGACAACCTGCGGGACCACCACGGGACAACCCACGGGGCAGCCCTTGGGACAACCGTGGGACTACCCACGGGACAGCCACGTGGGACAACCGCGGGACTCTTCAAAGTCGGCGCCGTTCGCTGTCCGCGTTGCGGACCGCAAAGGGCGCCGACTTTGAGGAGTGGGGCCTGGCGCGCTTCCCCCCCCCCCCCCGCCGTCGCCTCCGACGGCGCGGAACTGGTATAACTGGGTGGAACTGGTCATATAAATGGTCATAGAACTGGCCCATTAAAAATAAGGTCCGGCCTAGAACTGGTCGCATTTAGAAGAAGAATTATTGATATTCTTAAATTTTCTTTCATTGGACCGACCAGTTCTAGGCCGGACCCGATTCTTAATGGACCAGTTCAATGACCAGTTCTACCAGTTCTATCCAGTTCTTCCCAGCGGTGCCAGCCTCCGCCCGCTCCACGTCGGGGCGCGGGGGCGCGGGGCCGCCTGTGCGCGCTCTGGATCAGTGGCGATGCCCATGGCCGATCCACAATTGGAGGTCCACTGGCTTCGAGACCCTGGATTCCTTATCCAACGATTCCTTATCCAATGCCCTCGCCGTATTGTAGCACCAATCAATCAAGAGCATAAGAACCACGGCGGGCGGACAACAACTGTCCACAATTGTCGCGCCAAGACAACTCGTCGTCAAATCACGTCGACCGAATATGTATACCCCCTTTTCCCCCGACTCAAAGTTGGCGGGGTTAGGCGGCAGGCCGCGCGCCAGGGACAAAATGTGGACACTTCAACTTTGGGTTTTGGGGGGAGGGGTGCGAGGCAAGTGCATCATGCTGTTGCGGTTGTTATCACGTCGCAGTGTCTTGCCGCCCTGGGTGTGGACACTTTTTGTCCGGGCACCGTAGAATTATAGACTAGGAGCGATGAATAAGGAACGAAACCCCTCGTTGGCCTCAAACCGAGGGCAACAAATCCTCCCCATAAGAATCACCCCGGCACGCGAAGCCGTTTATGAAAACGCAGCCACGGAAGTAATCGGACAGGGCAGGGCTGTTTAGTAAAAACGCCCTGGGCCGTTCAATAAACGCCACTGATGGGGTCCGGGGGTTTTCCTCCCTTGACAAGGTGTGCCTGGGTGCGCGATGAGCGCAACAGAAACAACCATGGAACGACCTGCTGAACAGCGAGCCCCGTCCGGAACCGAACATTGCCTCATGTCAACGTCCTGACTCTACGGTAGGCTCGTGCGGCGTCGCCGCGCGCGCTGAGGTTTGTGTCACCGCGTCGATCACTCAACCCTGAATCGATTGCGGCCCCGATCGTTAGGTTGAGATGAATGGGGTCCAGGGGCGTCACTGTGTCCCTCGGTGCTTCCGCGTCGCAGAATTCAACCTGGAACGCCTTCGCAGGCGACGCCGGCGAGCCAGGGGCCACGTTAGCGTGTTTCGAACGAGGCTGGCCAGCGAGAGTCGCGAGGGATGAGCCGAAGGGGCAAGGATGCAAGGCTAGCCTTCGGAAGGTTGCCCAAACTTACTATGCGGGTTGACTGTTCGTGCAATGCCCACCCCCAGACTATCCGCCCCCCTTGCCTCCGCCGCATGGAGGGCGGATCGGACTCGTTGACGGCCGCGGGCAGGACGAACGGGGCGTGCTCCACGTTGTTGTACACCACCACGGCCCTGGCCCCCGCCGCGGTCGCGTTCCCTGCCTTGGCCGAGAACGTGCACGTCCCCCGCCGCACCAGTACCGCCTTTGAATACCTACCAGCCAAACCCAACCCAACCCGAAGACCCAAATTTCGGGTTGGGGGTGTACGGGCTTCGTATGTGTTTTTTCAATGCTCCCCGACCTCCCTTCACTGGGAATGGAAGGGCAAATTGGGGACTTCGGGTTGGGCTGGGGTGGTTTGGTGGGCGGTTGGTGAGCCTTGTCCCGCATCCGCTGCTGCTCGAAGGGCGACAGCGGGCTGCACAGGTCCTCGTTGCCGGGCGGCGCCAGCACCAGGCCGTACACGAAGCCCGCGTCGGGGAGGTGCACGTTCCAGAGCGCCGCCCTGGCCTCCGCGGAGATTTCGCCGTCAAGGTCACCGAGGTGCACCATGCAAACCTTGGGAACCTCGTCGCCCGCGTGCCACCTCGCGTCCGCCCCGCGGTAGAAGCAGTACGTCCGCAGGCTCCCAGGCCAGGGGCTGGCCCAGTCTCCCCGGCTGCCGTCCAGCAGCGTGCCCCCGCCGAGGGAGAACCTGCCAGCCTGGCACTGTCTGCACGAGACCTGCAGCGACGGCAGCCTGAGCGCCGGACGCACCGACACCGCCGCCTCCTGGTAGAATCCAGCCTGGCACGGCTGGTGGCACGGCAGGCCCAGGGCCGGCGGCGGCGGCAGGGTGGGCGACAGCGGGTGCGACGCGTTGCAGCGGCTCGCCAGAGGACGAGATGCAAACAGATCGCGAGACATCCTGCCGCTCACGTCCTCCCTGCACTCCGTGAAGCCAGCCTGGAAATCCCAGACGACACAGGGCCTCGTCGGGTCGTCAGGCTGGCCACGGCCGCGTGCTTCACCCCCAGACCTCTGACGCCGTGGCCCTCACGCCGTGGGCCCTGGGAGCTCACGGCCCATGTCCCAGGGGCACTGGCGGACTTGCTCGCTGCGGGCTGTGCGTTACGGCTCCCCAGACTTAGGCCGGGCCTGTCCCCCTACAGGGGGTTTTTATCGACAAACAATAAGTACCCAAAATATGCTCAAAAGATGCACAAAAATGAACGATAGTCCCCCGACTAATATTTTTAAAATGTTTGAATATTCTTCCTGTAGAGGGACAGGCCCGACTTAACCCCAGGCCCCCGCGGTCTAGAGCAGGCACCCTGGAGGCCCAGGCTCGGGAACCGACGGATGCCCGCATGCTCTGTTCTGGGCAGGCCCGACATGGACACGAGCAACCTTGGTGACTACGCTGCCCAGAGCTGTGGTCCTTACCCCCCTGGGGGAACCCACCGCATCGACGATCTCTCGAGAGGGGCGTCGAAATCGATGGGTCCCCCAAGGGCTGGCCTTCATCGCAATTTTTTTCCAAGTCCGTTTTGATCCTTCGAATCTCCCGCGACCGGGCATGAGACAATCGCGCCCTGGGGACAAAGCGGGTCCTCAACCCGGGGGCCTTCCCCCAGGACCAGCGTCTCGTCCTGGGTCGCTTCCTGACGGTCCCGGGGCCCGTGAAGGCCCCAAAAGCCCGAAATCGATGAGACGCCTCTGGGACTCCTCCTCAGCCTCCTCCTCCTCCTCGCCCTCGTCCTCCTCCTCCTCCTCCTCCTCCTCCTCGTCCTCATCGTCCTCTTCGTCCTCTTCGTCCTCCTCGTCCTCCTCATTGTCCTCGTCCTTCTCGTCCTTGTCCTTGTCCTTGTCCTTGTCCTTGTCCTCCTCCTCCTCCTCCTCCTCCTTCTCCTCCTCCTCTCTCCTCCTCCACCTCCTTCCTGTTTCCCTCAGGACCCGTTTGCTTCATGGCGAACGACGCTTCGTTTGGCTTTCCGCTGATGCCTGGGGTCTCCGGCGGCCGTTCGGGCCGCTTCGGGGCACCCCAGGAACGCTCTCGGCGAGGCGCAGCTGCTTGGAGTACCCGAAAAAAGAGAAGAACCGCCGTGAACCGACCAAAACACCAGACGACCTCGAAGACCTCGAGCCCCGAACTTCCCACCATCTCCCACGACGCCAGACAGGTCTGGGCCTTCCGCCACCGGCGCCCTGCCCAACGGCGGCGCCCTGCCCACCTGAGGGGCCACGTTGGGGTGGACTGGCTCGGGGGGGAATCATTGAGCTGGAACGACGATGAATCACCGATAGCTCGACGATACAGTCGAGGTTGACTGGTGAGGACGCGCGAGAGGACACAAGACCCTTCCGAGGGCCACATAGCCATAGGAATGCAGAAGGCAGTGGCCGCGAAGCACAGGACACACAGGGTACCCTTGCTTTGGCAGAGCCGACCTCCTCATAATCAACCTCGACTGGAGCACCGCTCTGGCGCCGAGGACGCCCGCGGCGGCCTACATGCCAGGCCCGCACATGCTGGGGCGACCATGGCGCGCGAGAAACTTGATCGGCCAGGTCCCGCTCGGGAGCGCCGCTCCGCACGCAGGCAGCGATGCTGAGCACCAGCACACGCAGCATCAGCTGGGCCCGCCGACCGCTGGCGCCCTGCCCAGACATGCGAGGTACGGGGCCCCCCGACGTTCCGACCCTCCTCCCGGGTTGTTCTGTGGACGGTCCCCGGGCTGTTCTGTGGACGGTCCTGGGGACCAGCGAGGGACCCCGGAGGCCGAACACGGCCGAAGAAGCCTCCCGCCGTGAGTTCTGTTTACGCCGCCTCGGGCATGTCTGGGAACGTGGCCCCTGCTCACGGCCGCCGCCCTGCCCTTGCCCTGCTTCTGGGCGCCCGAAATGGGTGCGGAGACCAAGTGCACGAGATGCCCGACCGCAAGCGTGGTCCAAACCCGACAACGGTCGCTGTTGGGCAGGCGGTCTTGCGTCTCAAATTGACGCCGTCCGCGGCGACACCGACGGCGGGTCCTGTTCAACATGATCTGGACATGACATGATCTGGACATGCTGCCGGTCGCCGTTCCAATTCTTGAGGAGCCTCCCAGATGGAGCGGACTAGATGGGGCTGGAGGATCGCATCGCATCGCCGATGCATTGCATCGCTGATGCATCGGCGATGCACCGGCGATGCAATGGCAAAGCACTGGCGACGTCGGTGATGCTTCGGCGACGCCAGCGTGGAGAGAATCGGGCTCCACATCGAGCCGCATCGCCGATGCATCGGCGGTGCGGCGCGATCCTCCTGACAACCATCCGATGTGTTGATTTGTTCAATGCAGGGCCCCCAGAAAGCCCGACTCCTTCCCTGGGGCCCGTTCTGCATCCCGAGTGCATGTGTGTGGTCCAGGCAGCCGGCGAGAGCCCCCAGAGGCAGGACGAAAACTAAGATCAAAAGCAAGTAAATGATCATTATTGACATTTTCAAAGAAATGGAGGCCTAGAACTCTTTCGGCACCGACGTGGCACGATGAGGGAAGTGGAGGAACTGCTGTCGGTCTTCGTGCCCATTCTTCGGGGAAAGCGCGAAAGGTGGGGTAGGCGCAGAGGTGAGGCTAGGAGAAGATAACTGGGAGCTGCATCTGGAATACGGAAGTGTGAGCATCCAGCTGAGTTGGTCCCTAACACTGGTTGGGAGAACCCCGTCTGCAAACCCCAGAGCTCTTCCCGTACCCATGTCTCGGAAGTGGCTAAAGGTGTCCCTGGCCTTAGGTCAGGCGTGTCCCCCTGCAGGCGGACTTCGGACGAACTATCCTAAACATCCCCAAAAATAGTCGAACAATAATCAACAAATAATCAAAACATCATCCCCAGCCCATGTTACACTTTTTGAATACTCCTCCTGTAGAAGCCCACACCCGACGTAAGGCTAAAGGTGCCCCTGGCCCGAGATGCCCCCAGCCCGTCGCTCCACTCCGGAGACCACGGGGGCCTCCTGGGCCTCGTGCGGGGTGCTCTGGAGGCCGCTGGGGCCACCCTGGTGGCACCTGAGGCCCAGGGCACTCCTCTAAAGTTAAGTCAGGCGTGTCCCTATACAGGGGGATCTGCTACGAAAAATAGAACATACTCAAACAATACTCAAAAATGGCTAACACAAAAAAAAATAGTCCCCAGACTATTTTTGGATTATGTTTAGATTCTTGTTCGGGTATTGTATATTTTTCGTCGGGAATCCCCCTGTAGGGGGACAGGCCTGACTTAATTCTAAAGGCGTCCTTCTAGATTGAAGGGGCCCTGGGACACACAGATACATAGACACAAACAACAGGATTACCCACATCTTCCTATACTTTCTGGGTGTTTGTCTTCCCCCCCCCCACCTTTCATACTTTCCCAGACCTTCTAGGGAATCGACGATTCATTGCGTCTGTGCTTTTTGCTCCCCTCCTGATCGATGGGGTCCGAGCAGAAGGGGTCGGAGGGTCGGGCCGTATCGACAACGCACTCGCCGATACAACGGCGGTGCATCGGCGAAGCCTCGGCGATGCATCGCCGACGTCGGCGACGCATCGGCGGTACCAGCGTGGAGAAGATCGGGCTCCGCCTCGAGCTGCATGAGCCGATGCATCAGCGCTGCGGCGCGATCCTCCGACCCCATCGTCACCTCGACCCCTCCCCCCTCTCTGCACCTACAAACAGGGTCCGCGCCTCCTGAGAATCAGGGGGGGGGGCTTCTGACAAGCCTCTCCCCTCGGGTGTCCCAAAACCGTGTGGTGACAGACCCGGCGGTGACCTCGAAATCCGCAAAGACCTCACTGCACGGTCCGTCACCACACGGTTTTGGGACCCTGGAGGCTCCAGTCGCCCGAGACATCCTCGGAGAACGACCCAAGTCCCAAAACCGTACGGTGACCCCGACTCCCCACCGACTCACCACGCGGTGTGGTCACCACCCCGTTGGGGAGCCCCCGATCCCCCCTCCCCCTGCCTCCCCCTGCGCGTGGCCGAACATGGCTGGATTCACATGTAGAACAGCCGGAGGCCGCGCGCTGGAAAAAAAAGCAAAAAAAGCGTGCGGACGGTCGGCGTCCCCGGCCATGGAAGGGCCGAGCGGGAAGGAATCCCAGGCGTGCCATGTCCCGAACGTTTCCAGTGCGGGGTCCCAGGACGTCCCGACCCTTTTTCCCCGAGGCCGCTTCAAATCCCGAGCCGTGCTGTTGACAATTTCCAGGAAGCGGCAAGGGCCCCCTGGAGGAAGAAGACAGCCAAGAATCTCCCTCTGCGCTTGGCTGATCGTGGCAGAAGAGGAAGAAGAAGAAGAAGAAGAAAAGAAGAAGAAGAAGCAACACCAACTACATGAACATACACTTTTGGAGATCCGCGCGGGCTTCTTGCATCTCGGCCAGAGCCCCCTCCCTGGCTCGCGGAGCGCCCCAGGGGGCAGCGCTGGAGGCGCCGCCACGTGCCCCAGCGCGGAGCCAAGAAAGCCGCGCGGAACGTCGAAAGTTTATGTAGTAGTAGTTCTCCTCCTTCTGCTCCTCCACCTCCTCCTCCTCCTCCTCCCTCCTCTTCCCTCCTCTTCCCTCCTCCTCCTCCTCCTCCTCCTCCTCCTCCTCCTCTCCTCCACCCCCTCCTCCCCCTTCCCTCCCCTTCCCCTCCCCCTCCTACTCCTCATCCTCCTCGTCCTCGTCCTCCTCCTCCTCCTCCTCCTCCTCCTCCTCCTCCTTCTCCTCCTCCTCCTCCTCCTCCTCCACAGGAGTCCAGGACCCCCAATGTTTCTGCGTCACTTTTGGGGCCGCATCGATCTGTGAGGGCCCTGGGGGGCCTGAGACTGGGCGAAAGCACCCGGGGGGAAAAACTGCAACGCCAGGATCTCAGGGAGTCCTGGCAAAACCTCGAGACTTCGATTGGGGAAGCAAAAGGGCACCGATACCGCCACTCCCCAGCCCTATCCCGGGGTGCGTTCTGACCAGGAATTCGATGCGAATC